TTAATTTAAAAAAAATGATGGTAGACTATGATTATGTACGACTAATTTACATGTCATGAACAATAATAATTTTTATACTTATATATATATATATATATATATCTCTATAAACCAGACAATATTCTCGCTTTTATTATTACGTTGTCTCGCTGTCTGCTCTGTCTCTAAACTAATAAGAAGAAGAAAAAGAAACACAACAGTTTACTTCGCATTAAAATACATTGAAATTATCACGTTACATTACTTTTTGTCGCCCCAATAATTCTCTTTTCGTGTGCATATTAACTAAGTCACCAAGCCTCATAATAAATCCCACCCTGTTCCATTTCAGCTCCTTGTATTCTCGTTCTCCGTCAGACATTCATTCGAAACAATACGGTGAAATAAGTAATACTCAACCGATTAAAAGATGAATGATGCAAATGAAACTTTGTACTTGACATTGCCTTTTCATTGTCAGGAATTGTTTCGGACAGAGAACGAGTGTAGATGAAGCTGGGGTCATTTTGCTATCTCCTATGTACTGGATCTTAGTTTATCTTCAGGATTTGAATGTTTTTTCTCACTTTCTTATACGTCCCACTGTTGGACATGATTCTCGTACAAGTTTACACTCGCCAAATTCAAAGTCGTAGATTTCACACGTGATTGAGGGTTGTAAACTTTTGTCTTGTATTTCTAAGGAAAAATGTTTGCCCAGTCAGAATAACCTGGGTTAGGCTCCAGCCTTTACAGACAACACATTTTTTTTTATTTATTCTTGTACAACTATGTTGTACAAAAAAGCTTAAGTGCCAGTGGGCCGGACATATATACAGGAGGGCTGATGACCGATGGTCTACGTCAAGGTAACCGTAGTGTAGGACGACCTGAGAAAGATGATCAGCAGCGGCTGGATATGGGTGGCACATACGGGGAGGCTTATGTTCAGCTGTAGATGCGTGTAAACCAATGATGGTGTACAACAATACGGGGAAATAAATTATTATTATGTTCTTTAAAATAAAACCATATTTCAGCTGTTGTGACCACAGGTTTATAGAAGCCCAGGCGTATTAGCTTTTGGCCTCGATAATGCAGACAATATTACCGTTAATTTCGTGCAAGTCATTTGACGATTTCCAGTTAATTTATTTGCTGTTGATTTTCGTTTACATTACACACATTTCTAATTGGCAAAATTGTGTTTCATTGATCATAACGTGTGATAAAAGCATTGGAATTGAAAAAAATAGAGCAAGATAACTTTTCTGTCACGCACGTGTGGAATCAAACTTACGTTATGGACTTTTTATCAGGGGGCACAGCTATGACTGTCCCACAAGTGGAAGCAGTGACGTAGAAACAAGTCTCAGGAGAGTCTCACAAGTGGAAGCTTACCCGGAAGGAAGGCAGGTAGGTGGTGCAACTAAGACCCTACAGTACATTACTTTTTTTTACATTGACACTTTACAGTTGCAGTTTTTTTAAGGACATTTTGCAGTTGGCCGCTGATGGCACTTAACCCATATCGCCACCGGAACACTGCAATGTTCAATAACAATACTTGATGTGAACA